GGTGGGGAGCAGAGGGAGGTGGGGAGCAGAGGGAGGTGGGGAGCAGGGTGAGGTGGGGAGCAGAGGGAGGTGGGGAGCAGGGTGAGGTGGGGAGCTGGTGGGAGAGGTGCAGCAGGCAGGGAGGCTTTTCTCCCTTCCTTCCTGTCCATGTTAGTAACTCCCTCCTGGTGAGCCTGCCCGCTCAGGCCCGGGGTCCACGTTTGAGCTTGCCCTCCCACAGCGGCTCAGCCCCTTGGCCCGTGGCCCCCTCGGGTGGGGCTGGGCCGAGAAGAGTCCAGGGCAGTGGAGAGGCAGGGGCGGGAGGCAGTGGACCTCAAACTCGGGTGGGCACCCTCATGGGACCTGCTTCTCTGGTCTCCCCCCTACCACACAGGGGGCTGATCACCCTGGAGAGAGTTGAGGCAAGGTTTCTCAACCTTGGGTCTAAGGGGTTCAATTAACGGACCCTTAGAGAGGTCTGAACCCCCTGAAAGGATACAAGATTTCTTGTGGAGAGTGTGCATGTGTGTTTCTGATAAAAGGGCCCATAGTGTTCATTCTCAGCAGGGTCCAGTCTCAGAAAAGGTTAGGAACTCTTGCTACAGTCTTTGGGAGCAGATAGATGGGCACTTCTGGGACCGGTTATTCCCTAGGGCAGGCTGGTTTGTATTGGCAGAGCTGAGGGGTGGGGCATGCTGGGACTTTGTGAAATTGTGAGGTGACTGCGTGTGTTTGTAGGACAGGCTGACACAGACTCGCTAGCTAACTAACTCCTAACAAGTCCTTGGCCTGGACCAAGCCATCCCCACCTGGAGCGTGGCGCGCATCCTTGCAGCATCCTCTATTCCTCTGGTGTCTCACCCACACCCTTCTGGCCCTGTAGCCATGTAACCATGAGAATGGGCCACTGGGGCAAGTGAAGGGCTATTGTCAACTCCCTTTCTGGCCATGTAGACAGTGAATGAAGGGCTTGACACATGAAGGTTGCTTACAGGCCGGTCAGTAAACACCTGCCAGACATCCAGGCAGCCAGCCAATCTGTTTCACTCCATTTCCAACCAGGATTTTTCTGCAACCCCAAATCTGTCTGAAGAGCCAGCCAGTTAAAGTCAGCCCCAGACATTGGAGTGAGTCAGAAAACACACAAGTGGGCCCTGAGCTGGCTGGGCAGGGGCAGGATGGAGAACACAGAGGTTGCCCGCCAGGAGTTGGTTCCTTCTGTTACAGCTGCCCTGGCAGTTCCTGAGTTGCGGGGGATGTAAGGAGGGGGACGTGGGGGCGGCAGGAGGAAGAATCCCTGCTTGGCCGTGTCACCTTCTGGGTCTTGACACCTCACGTCTCATTCATGTTTAGAGAGACGAAGTGAGCACTTGCTCTGCGCTAGCCAGTGTGTTAGCTGGGGACATGACAATGACGGAAAAGACAACATCCTGGCCATAGCCCATGGCAAACGGTGTTAAGTGCTTGGAGAGGAGCAATCACAGGTTCCCACAACCATCCGGGAGACAACTGGCCTTGCCGCTGCCTTTGATAGGCAAGAAAATGCAGGTTTGCCGGGGCGACCCAACCAGGCAGCTGGGCTGGAACCTGGGCCCACCCCCAGAGCCCATGCTGTTCCTACCCCACCTAAAATGAGAGCCTCTCAGAAACAGTTTCCTAAAACTAAGGGCAACGACATCTGCTGAGCTCCTGCTGTGAGCCAGCGGGCCCTTTATACAAGCCCTTTGACTTAGTGTTTGCAATAAAATGTTAGGGAGCCAAGGTAGGGAGCCAGCATTTTACAGATGCAGAAAACTGAGGCTCCGAGAGAGTAATGTATTGAGGTCAGATAGCTGTGCGCAGGGCCCAGCCTAGGTCTACGGAATCTCTGCCAAGGTTTCCAAAGTGCCAATGTCCTCAGCACTCCTCGGACACAGTCAGTAGGAACTGACAGATCTTACTAAGTGAACGTCCCTGTCTGTGTGACCAGTCTCAGGTGTGGGGAGGGTCTGGCCCTTTCCTTGCTGAGCACATGATGCAGTGTGCTTGGTGGACGAGGCGTGCACCTGTCACCTGGTGAAGAGAAAGGACAGTACGAGGTGACGGGGCTGAGCTGGGTCTGGAGTGGTCCTCGCTGATCTTTGGTGGCTGCCTCAACTATTACAGGCCGTCCCAGGTGGTCAGAGAGCTGGGTGGGTGGAGGGAACAGCATGAACCAGGCCTGGAGGCTGGAGGACAAGCACCAGCTGGCCGTGGGACCAGGAGGGTGAGAGGCTGGCCAGGGAGGGAGGTGGGACCAGGCTGTGGAGATCCTGAGGTCTAAAGATTTGCCCTGTGGCAGAAACCAGGTGAGGCAGGCTGTCACCTCCA